ACGTTTTGAAGCAATGCACTCGCCAACTCATCGACGTCGAACACGCCGCGATTACTTGAGACGTAAGATTTAGTTAAAATTAACATTTGACATATTCTCGCAATCCCGTACCGTTACATGTCATCCATTCTTTGTTTTTTGCTAGCAGCGATGAGCTATTCACCAATTTCAAAGAACTTGTTTTGGAGAATGAGTTCTATATTGTTGAAATGATTTGTTTAATTGCTCTAATGATTCATCAAAAATCAGTGACTTGTTCCAATTAATCTTCCACAAGGAAGTTCAGGAACTAATTGACGGAAACTCAAAGCTCAAATGGTTTTCAAGCTGAATTCTTACAATCGACAGGATAACGAAAAGTGCTTACCGGAAGCAACTCGAAATGAGAAGAATAAATTTTAACGAAACTCAAATGACATTCTCAACTCTTTTAACCAAATTCATTTTAAAGAGCTTAAAAACGAAGTCTAATGAGAGGATTTTTTTTGACATTCGAAACCACAGACAACCAGCACTGGTAACATTCACGTTTTGTATCGTCCAAAAGCAATTTGCGTTTGAATAATCAAACTTGAACGTGGATGATTTTTTAATGAAATTTCTCGCGATGTAGTCAAGAAGTCGTGCTTGTTTTTCAACAGTTCATCGAGTGATATGATAGTTTGCAAGCGAGAAACTTTTGATTTTCAGTCGGTTACTACCCGTCAACTGGATTGTACAGCAACTTTGGTCGAGGAGGTTATATGGGAGGATATTATGGTGGTTATCCAGGTGGACTGTACGGTGGATATGGTGGATTAATGCCGCCACTAAATCCAAGAGTGTATACGGATCCAGCTCCAATGATGCCATTCGGTGGCATGTATGGATAAGGTGTACATACCAGCAGATTACATGAATGAGATGATCATTGGGCGTTTATGGTGTTGTTATAATATTTTACATGCAAAGTTACGCATAAAAATGGTAATATTCGTTAATATTCGTTCATGTTATAGAGTATTTTGACGACAGAAATATTGGCCGATTGCATTGACTCGCAGGTGCTTGATGAATCGTTCGGCAGTCTCCGGAGCTCAGATCCTCTTGGAGACATCTTGCAAAACAATAACTCGCGAATGCTTTTTTGTGGGCGCACCATGAACACAAATGGGAATCGCTTGCTTCAGTTTCTTCCGTAGTACCCTGAATGCAACGTTGATAACTAACTGTTTCTGTGATTGAACGATGNTTGCTTCAGTTTCTTCCGTAGTACCCTGAATGCAACGTTGATAACTAACTGTTTCTGTGATTGAACGATGACCAAAAGTATTTGTAACCAAATCAAAATAGTTTTTTAAATGACCACAAGATGGTCATTTAAAAAACTGTATTGATTTAACAAAAGTTAACCCTCCAATAAACATTTTTTTGGAGCTCGCACACTTGGAAAAATGACCAAAAGTATTTGGGAGGACTAACGATGGACATATATGGTCAACGGATATTTAACTTTCGGTCAGTTGATCCATGCGGACCTTGTGATTGCGGTACATTTGGTTCGGCACACACAAAACGTGATGAGAGATACCCACAAAACATATGCCGAAAACCCGGGAAAGTGTGAAACAATAAAATGCGACGAAGCAAAGATGTCAGCTTTGACAGGTTTCTTCGAAGACGTTAGGTTTTGAAGAGCTGAGAGTGTATCAAGAAATGATCCAAAGAAATGATCAAGAGTAAATGAGAGTGGTGATTGATAAGGAAACGAACTGATTCACTAGAATGTAGATGATCGTATTAGCTCCGCTATTGATAATCCAAAAAAGATTTCTCGAGAGCATCACCCATCGGTTTGGTGAGAAGATGATCCAATAGTTGTTCCAATAAAGCACTGCGAACAACGCCAAGCCAGATATCGCTATTCCCTGAAACTTATGCGATTTGAGAAAATTCAAAACCATCGCCATGTTGATGTCTGTTGGCTTTCTTATAAGAAGAAATTTGCTGACTCATAGAATCAAACGTCGATTTGATCGTTTAAAAAAATTCATTTATGAGGGTTTACAAATAGCATTGATTGAATACGGTGNACGCGGTCGGAAGAATCATTATGTGTCAAAATTTTCTGATCATATTCTACAGACTACATCATCAATAGTTTTGGGAATAAGGCTGAGGCAGTGGCAATTTCGCAAAAGAAACTTTATCCAAACCCTTCCTCGCATGAAATCTTCTCAAAAACGAAACAGATGGTCTATTCTCTGCCCAATTTTGAACATTCCACAATCTCACGAACCGATTTATAGAGCAAAACGAATAGTGCCACATAAGCGGCAGCAGACAACACCAGCTGCACGTACGAATTGTAAATGACCGTATTCCTGGAATGCAGTGAAATCTATCAAACCAAGCATGTCATGGTTAAATTTCGGATGTCATGAACGAGTGCCAGCGCTCGACGACAACTCAAGTAATGGCTAAGTATCGAAAGGTTATCACCCTTTGAAAGGTTTAATAAGTGGTTATTGCCCACTCATCAAATCCACGTCGGTAACGCCATTTGCTGTTTTGTTGGAATAAGGCGACCTTTTGGTAAACATCTGCTAACTTACAACTAGTTATGGTTAGCATTGCTCAGATATTAGCTATCAATTAATAGCTATTAGTTATGTATAACTTAGTTATTAATTGTTATTGTTGTTATTCA